GTGCTCTGGTCTGATCCACCAGAGAACCCCAGAAAGACGAGTGGTGCCTTCAACACTGACCCGGTAAGGAGCAGAACCTGGTGACATGATGCAACTCTTGGTCTGGTTATGATATTTTAAGCTGATGCAACTTGGTAAATCATTTCCTGGCCTGCAGTGACAATAAAAAACTTTATCTGATCAGGTTAAATCACTTCTTTCAACCAAAATCCAAAGTAAACTTTATTAAAATAGTCAAATTTGTCTAAATTCATACGCGTATAAAACTGAAATAGTTCCTGATCAAAGAGTCAATTTTGCCTAAGATAAGAGAATTAAGCCTTGATTGATTCATTATTATTGTTTGTTTATTATTGTTGTTGATTTATAGTTTGATTATTTTTGTAATAAAACTTTGAAGACAACTTTGGTCTCTTCATTCAGATGAATATTCATGTGTTCTGGTGTAAAACTCCATGTAATTAACAGATTCCACTTCAGTGACTGATTCTGATCATTAAAGGGTGAAAATATTAATTAAGATGTTGTTGGTCAGTAAACTGACCAGCTGGTGTCACACTTTAACAGAGCTAAATAAATAAAAGAAATGTAGTGGAGGGGAGTGGAGAAAGTGTCACCCTTCATCCTCCATCCCTCATCCTTCATATTGCTACACTGTATACTGTTTATATCTATGGTGGTCACAGAACATCTGTTCGTATTTCCAGCAGCCACTGTGGGATCTAGTTGCTGCCAGAGCTCTATAAAGAGACACATGTTGTTCTAAATTAAACTTTGGTGCGAACAGTGTTACAATAAGACATGTCATATTTTTTATTGAACAATAATCTTCATGCTAACAGTAACGTTGTAATTTCAGAGACTGAGGAAGAAACAGAAATGAGGCGAGTGAGATGAGGGAAAGATGAAAATGTGTCCTCAGAGGACGGGGACATGTCAGGATCTGATGATCCAGGATCAACAGGACCAGGAGGATGGATCAACAGGCAGTCAGGGAACAGAGATGAACAACCTGAGGAACAATTAGAACACAAAAAATACATAAGCAGGACAGAAGAAACTCACAGACAAGAAAATTAACTCAGTCCTGTGAAGAAAAATGTTAATGGAAAATAAATTGACATATTTTTACAAAAGATCAGATGAAGACAACTGTCATGAAGAAAAACTTCCAGCTCCATCTCAATGTACCTGTGATAGTTTAATAAGTTGTTTTGTTACTGTCCTACAGTTTATTGATGCTGATATATTCTTGTAATAATTCTTATTTCTTGTTCTGTCTTGAAAGAGTCTCATCTCAGCTTGACCCATGATTACCAAACACTAAACTAATAATATAAAACTAATGTAAATGAACAGTCCTGCTGTAAATACCAACTTTGTGAAGGTTATGGTGTTAAAGTAATTTTATTCAAACATCTTGATTAAGCTGTTATTGTTTTGGAAGACAGAAAATGAGATCTTGTACCTTTGTGATACTTTGAATGCAACATTCAGTTCATGAAGTCATTCTCCTGTGGTTTACCTGGAAAACATGAAAAAAATTGACTCATCTCCACAATCACGTTTTACTTTAATGATAATGTCACAATTTATGCTGCAGTCTTTGACAAATGATCTATAACTTTAACTAAATTACGTCAATCTTGTTGTCATGTTGTCATCATTCTTTGTTAAATCAGGTCTCTCTTGTAGATGAGTCCTCGAGGCTCAATGGGATTTACCTGTAGAAATAAAGGTTGAATGAATCTCAGAAAAAAAAGGCCAAATATTTTCTAGTTGAGTTCAGTAACTGGAATTACCATAAATTTTAAAAAACACCACCTTTCAAAATTTAAGCAGTAATAGATATTTTAAAACCTTGAATTAGAAATAGACCCGTTTAAACCGTCATGTTGCAGAGCAGCTGCAGTTAAAACGTTGGTTACGTACTGTAACCCCAGATTCTATGAATATAGGCGTAGCCCTTTAAGGCTGTCGTTGATGGGTTTATCCCGTTATGCGCAAGCATCATACTGAAAAAATTAGTCCACGCCCACCTGCTGTGTGGGCCCCACCCGATCCGTATAAATTACATTAAGAGCGGGTAATCTGCTCCCAAATAGCTTATTTTTTCTTCAGCCATTTAGGAGCCAGTGAGGCCCGACGCTTAAAGGGCTACGCCTATATTCATAGAATCTGGGGTTACAGTACGTAACCAACGTTCTATGTCATATAGGCTTCGCCCTTTAAGGCTGTCGCTGATGGGTTAAGGGCGAAGCGGATGTGGTCCTCGCCTCACTGGGTCCATTCGAACACAGTAAGAAGCGGAAGTTTGCCCAAAAAACGTCTTGTCACTCAGCTCCCCGTGTGCATAACTACGCGTTGCGTAATTGTGTGCCATGCACAGACGCATGTTGTGTAACTATGCGTTCTGACAAAGCATGAACGCCCCGGAAAACTTTCAACGGGGAGAAGATGTTGAAAAGGGGGGGGGGGGGG